TGAAATTGGTTCCGCGGTGAGATTAATTCCGAGGTGAAGTTAGTTCCTTGTTGAAATTAGTTTCGAATTGTATTTCGTTCCGAGGAAAAATTAGTTCTTTGTTGAAATTAGTTCCGAGGTGAAATTATTTTCGAGTTGAAATTATTTCCGAGGTGAAATTAATTCCGAGTTGAAATTAGTTCCGACTTGAAATTAGTTCCGAGGTGAAATTAATTCCAAGCAGAAATTAGCTCCGCGGTGAAATTAATTCCGAGGAGAAATTAGTTCCGAGGAGAAATTAGTTCCGAGGTGAAATTATTTTCGAGTTGAAATTAGTTCCGAGGTGAAATTAATTCCTAGGAGAAATTAGCTCCGCGGTGAAATTAATTCCGGTCATGGGACTGATGATGATGATGATAAAGTGTCAGTGATTGTGATTAAAACTAACGCGAAAAGATAAACATGAAGAAATAAAGAGATGAAAAAAGGGGAAAATTGAAAGGAAATTCATTGACATTGGAATTTAATTTTGATTTGAAATTTTTAAATTATGTCTAACAAGATATGGAATGACAACCATGGAAAAAAAACATATTTCGATATGAATTGACTTAAGATTTACTTGTTGAAGAAGAATCAATATTTGAAGTGAAAAATAATATCTTCTGTTTCAACAAGCATCGTTATGTCTATATACTTATCCGTACAGGTGGGGGAGGAGTCAATAAAGGTAATGGGAGAGTTTTGGAAGAAAGATTTATTCACTCACTTAAATTTCCACCATAACAACATCTTATTTTAAGGACAGAACGGAATGGCTGAAAGAAAAAAGGAATGAAAATCGTGCTTGACTTTAGACTGACTCTTCTGTCGCTAAGTCGTACACAAAATTATATATGCATTTATCCCACGTAATTAAACTTTAATAAAATGAACAGGACGAAAAAAAAGTCGACTCTTACGTAATAATATGACTAAAAAAGAAAGAGAAAAGTTGGAGTTTTTTTTTTTATGAATCTCATGAGGCCACGTGGTATTCCCTGAAGCAGCCACCACTATGCGGTTGGTACGTACTTCCTCCTCTTCATAAATATCATCTGCCGTCAGGTCTCTATCTTTTTATTAAAAAAATAGATATTTATTGTGCAAAATATGTGTATTTTTTCATTAGTCTAAAGGTGCTTATATATATATATATATATATATATATATATATATATGTGTGTGTGTGTGTGTGTGTGTGTGTGTGTGTGTGTTTGTGTGTAAAATTTGAACATTTCATAACATGGTTACCTCCCCTGAAGTTTACATCGTGAAATATAAATCGCAGAGTACGTAACTTCAGCGTTTTCACTTTACAGGTAAAAATGTATCTTTCAGATGAACACGCCATATTTTGTCTTAGGAAAAAGCAACACCGTTATGATGACAATGTGCTAATGTCTAAAATACTCGGAATAAATGAATATGTATCAACAAAAGAAAACAAAAGAAACGTCTCTAGAGGGCCATCCTGAAGCCTATGAGTAGACAAAAAAAAAATATCTGCCAGCCTGTCTTTCTTAATTCACCCAGGAACGGTATGATGCAGGTCGTCAAGTGGAGAAATAAAGCCTACACCTTGATACTCAAACAGGGTGACAGAACTAATTTCAACTCGGGACATCAAAAGGATAATTTGCAGTTGAACCATCACGCTCAGTTTCTAATAAATAAAATTTCCCAAATAGTTTCATTTTAGGTGTAAATATACATTCTTAATTCGAAAATAACAAAAAAAAGTTTGATAAAATCTACCGTTTTGGAATTATAGTCAATTAAAGTTCGGACTCATTCGTGTCGCGATGGGTGAAATTGAAATTAATTCTACACTTCCATACACATTCATACACACGTACACACTACCACCAGCGCCTTTCTCTTCACTTTTCATTCTCTTAGACTTTTTCTACGCAACTTCATACACACAAACAATTCACTAGTTTACATTTTTTCATCATTCATGTTCATTGTTCACATACAACAGTATTATGTTGTCTATGTAGACCTTTGTAATATTAATACATACTTATCGATTGTTTTTATGCATATGCGTATGCGTGTATATTTGTAGATATATATATGTGTATGTATGTATGCGTGTATATGTATATATGTGTGTATAAGTTTGTCTATAGGTTGGGTTTTCTGCACTTCTGTCTGTAGTGATAAATGTATGTACACTGTATACATATATTTGTAGGTAGTTCTTATTTTCTTTCACCTAATGTACAACTAGGCGTATATATGTGTTTGGAATTTTCGTTTTTTATATATTTTTATATGTATATATCTATTTTAATGTCCTTTCTTTACCTATTATTTGTTTCTCTGTTCTATTAGATCATTTTTATCTATATATATTGGCCCGTATAAGTTATATTTTAATATGTGGTTAGAATTCGTTTAATAACACCTTCAATCTTGCATATTTCTTGAGTGTTATATCAGAGTGTCTATGTCAATGTATGTGGGTATATGTACATATCTTTTTCGGTGTCTGTGTTTAGTAAATTGCATGCACATTTCATTGTGTATGTGTGTGGTTTAAATATATTTTAATTTTTTTTTGTAAAAGGTCGTGCAAATTTTTCCTGTCTCGTCACTTTTTTGTGTGTGTATATATCTAAATATGTCTGTGTGCTTATGAATTATAATCTGATTGTGTTTCTATTGTCTTTCGCAATATGTCATAATCCCATGTATACACTTGTATCCTTGTTGTCATTAAGTTAAGGGCAGTCGATTTTAACGTTTATTCCAACGTAATTTCAATAGAAACAAAATGAATAGACTAACATATGTATTTTTTTCTTTTTTCCTCAATAATTTTAAAATATTAAACTTAATATAGATTAAATTTACATTTTTGAAATCGATAGTTTTTAATTTTAATTTCAAATGTTATCGTACAATTTATTAGTTAGAATAAATTTTATTTTAGTATAAACCTAACTTTAAAGCATTTAATAGTTAATATAAACTTACTTCGTTATCAAGTTTGTTGAATTCTCGTATACTTGTATTTTGATTGGTCATTACAGCTCATGTGACAGCGTTTCCCCTTACGAGGGGTGGTTAATTAATTTGAAGCTTTTAAAACCTTTATTCTACAATCTCCATTCAACATCATCCCTTGATAAGACACCAGGGATGTTGAAACAAAATGGCTATGTTTATAGTGATTTTATAATATATTTATGTTATAATTTTTAAAATAAATAGTTATATTCTCTCTACTCTGTATTGAGCACTCTTTTAAGAATAATAATTGTTGGTTATTGGAATTTATTCCGGATACACCAATCATATACTTTACATATATATATATATATATATATATATATATATATATATATATATATATATATATATATATTTGGTTGGATATATGTTAGCTCTATCTCTGATATTGAGCGCTTTCTAATAAGTACCGCGCATATAATATATAAATAATTATACATATATTTATTTATATTTATATACACTTTTCACACACACACACACACACACACACACACACACACACACACACACACACACACACACACACACACACACACATATATATATATATATATATATATATATATATATATAGTTTTAAGGTATGTTATATTTATAGGATAAACTGCTCAATATCAGGGATGGAGCGTATATAAATAGAAATATAAAAGTGAACATTGAAGTCAACACTCAGAGGCGACAGGCTGTTTCACGCTAGACGCAATCGTCAGGCTGTGTAGTAAAACAAATTAATCCAAATAAATACATAAACAAACAAGCCACTCCCACCAAAATAATCTCCAGAATGGATTACCCACAATGCACTAATGACCCATATATATAAATAGCCGAGAAAAATCCAACACTCGCGGCCTGACGATTGCATCTAGCATGAAAAAGCCAGTAGCCTCTGAGTGTTGATTCAATGTTCAGCATGTGCCTGCAAGATAAGATAGTTGGAACAGTTGGTATGACGTTTGTCTAATAACGTAACTGTCCTGGTTTCAATTCTCGGTAGTGGATGCGTACTGATGATGAGTCCCAAATATAGAATGAAACGGCCGTCCAGTACCTTCTACATTCTGTTGAGGTTTCTTCTAGACTCGATGAATTTCTTAATTATAATTATCTCAAATCCTCCTAATAATTTCTATCGCTTAAATATATATATATATAAATTAACTGATTTAAAATATGTTTTTTCCAAGAAAAAAACATTTTTTTAAATCAGTTAATCTATCATATTTATGCTCTGTAAATTTAAATTTACATTGAGCACTGTTTTGTAAAAATAAAAAATAACAAGAAGACCGGATTACATATGTTACTATTCCTTCTTTCTATATATATATATATATATATATATATACATAGAGAGAGAGAGAGAGAGAGAGAGAGAGAGAGAGAGGAATAAATGAGGTGGTCTACTATTGCAGACACGTGACACGAATGATGCCGAATGGTGAAATGTGCGACGACGTCCTGTTCGCGCTCCGCATTTTAATATTTTTGTGATTTTATTTGAAAGAGCCTCGTATATATCATCGTATGTGTACATATGTGTGCGATTATGAGTATTAGAGATCATGTGTCCATGTCCCTGTGCCAGTGTGTGTTATTATACATGTGTTAGCATCGTTGCTTGTATGAGTGCAAGTCTGTGTGCATGTGTATTTTTGCTTTGCACTTGTGTGTGAGTGTGTGTGTGTTGCGAATCAAAATATTTTTACCAACTAAATCCATTTCTATTCAGAAATAATTTGTCTTCACCTCTGCAATTGTCAGAAGTGACACGTAGTTGAGAGGAGGAAAAAAATAAAAGCTGTCCATGAAAGATGGGAAACATTTGTCTGACAAAGTTTTTGTCAAATTTCCTCTGCTCCATTTCACTCTTTCCCTCATTTTTCTCACCACGAATTTCTTTTGTTCCTTGATGATTTATGAGCGGAGAGGATCAAGAGAAAAATGACAAATTATTATGGTACGATAGATAGATAGATAGATAAGAACAGACGTAAATCGATTGATAGATATAAACATAGATATATAGATACGAACAGACTTAGATATGAATAGACTGAGATAGATAGATAGATAGATAGATAGATAGATAGATAGATAGATAGATAAAGAATAGGCATAAATCGATTGATAGATATAAACATAGATATATAGATACGAACAGACTTAGATATGAATAGACTGAGATAGATAGATAGATAGATAGATAGATAAAGAATAGGCATAAATCGATTGATAGATATAAACATAGATATATAGATACGAACAGACTTAGATATGAATAGACTGAGATAGATAGATAGATAGATAGATAGATAGATAGATAGATAGATAGATAGATAGATATGAACATAATTACATAGATATGAACAAACTTAGATATGAAAGGACATCGGTATATAAATATGAACAGACTTAGATATCAAGATATTAAGAGAGATAGATATGAACATGCATAGATTAATTAACAGATAAATATGAACAGACATAGATAGATATGAACAGAGTGAGATAAATATATATATATATATATATATATATATATATATATATATATAGAGAGAGAGAGAGAGAGAGAGAGATAGATAGATAGATAGATAGATAGATAGATAGATAGATAGATAGATATCAACTCGTAGACACATGCTCCACTATACATTGCCAATGCTGTATCAAAATTTCCTTAGTTTCCATTTTAATAACATTCGGTCAATCTATTGTTAAATGGGACAAGAAATGGCTTGTCACTATTAGTGCCTCCTAAAACTAAACTTCTGCCTTTTAATCGTGTTAGAAAGCTTATTTTGTCTTCTATCAGCCTGTCTGATGCTAAGAGACAGGAGAGTATCTCATTACGAATTTTCTGTTCAACTTTAACCGTTGATATCAATTACAATGTTTGTATTGAGCCAGATGCTAAAGGATTTGATAGACCGTGTCATTATATACATGTTTATAAAACCCGAATCTGTCTTTTATATTTATAAGTCTACTATTTGACCATGTACTGTTGCCACATTTGGTATGGTGCTTCTGCTAAATACATAGAGATTTTGGATAAAAAATCAAAGAAATTGCAATATTATTGATCTGGAACTGGCATCTCAGCTTCAGTCATCTTCTCAACGACGTCCCATCGGTTCTATATTTCTACAAATATGCTGAAACAGAATCTGTAATTAAAAGCACAGAGAAAATGGAAAAAAAAACACCATCTATTGACAAGGTGTAGAAATTCTGGGAGAATATTTAGAGCAGCCCAAAGGAATATAACTGAAATGGAGAATGGATACAACATGAAGAAGAACGAATACTGGATAAAAATCTACAAGAGTGGGAAAATATTACCACAAATCATGTTAGGCGAGCTCTAACGAAATCCCAAAAATGGAAATCCCCAGGAAATGACAAGGTGCACAATTTCCGGCTATAAGATGAGCTTTCCTTATTTCCTGTATTAAAGTGCAGTACTAAATTGGCAGATAGGTCTTATCATTTTACTGTTGAAATTGCAAAATGTAACCGCAAGTCCTACACTGATAGTTTCTTCTGGGGTAATTCTTGTCTATGGCACTCTCTTCTAGCTTCTTGATTTGCTGTCAACTCCGACCTTCAAAATATTAAATACAATGTCAATCATCGTCTTCTGTTTCCATGAACCCTCGTCTTTTTATTTTTCATTGCTATTCATTAACAATTTTCTCAGTTGCCTTCACTCAGTAACCCACTGCATCTTAGTGGCTTTTTTGCCTTGCTTGAGGTGAATAATTAAAAGATACATTACAATTTTTTTTTTTTGATTTTTTCTTTACAGTTTATTGGATTTAATTTGATGTTATAAAATATTTCTGTCTGGCCTTTATGTCTATGTCTCTCTCTATCTCTGTCTATATCTCTGAGATGAGGTATTATGATTACTTTCATTATTTACATTATTCGGACTGTTATCCTCATCTTCATTGCCATATTCACAACTTTCCGGCCGTTGTACGCTACAGCCTTTATGTCTATGTCTCTCTATATCTCTGTCTATATCTCTGAGATGAGGTATTATGATTACTTTCATTATTTACATTATTCGGACTGTTATCCTCATCTTCATTGCCATATTCACAACTTTCCGGCCGTTGTACGCTACAGCCTTTATGTCTACGACTCTCTTTATCTCTGTCTCTATCTCTTAGATGAGGTATTATGATTACTTGCATTATTTACATTATTCGGACTGTTATCCTCATCTTCATTGACATATTCACAACGTTCCGGCCGTTGTACGCTCCGGCCTTTATGTCTATGTCTCTCTATATCTTTGTCTATATCTCTGAGATGAGGTATTATGATTACTTGCATTATTTACATTATTCGGACTGTTATCCTCATCTTCATTGCCATATTCACAACGTTTCGGCCGTTGTACGCTCCGGCCTTTATGTCTATGTATCTCTATATATCTGTCTATATTTCTGAGATGAGGTATTATGATTACTTGCATTATTTACATTATTCGGACTGTTATCCTCATCTTCATTATCATATTCGCAACGTTTCGGCCGATGCACGCACCAAACTTCTTCAGGTGATTAGAATTTCGAACCGAACCATTTATTTCGTCCACCGAGGTAGATTGTTTTTGTTACTTGTGCCAACTTCCAATTCAACCAACCCTGGGTACTACAGCAGTAGTGAATTCCCTGCACCAAAAAAAAAAAAAAACAAAAAAAACTTGGAGAGTTGAGTTAAAGGGAAAGATCTGAGACATTCGGAAGAGGCGTGGCACGTGGAACTAGGGCAATCTACTCCGGTGGACGAAATGAAGGGTTCAGTTAGAAATTCCAGTCACCCGAAGAAGGCTGGTGGGTACAACGGCAGAAACGTCGTGAATATAGCAATGAAGATGAGGATAAAATTCCGAATAATATAAATAATGCAGTAATCATCAAACCGCATCTCAGAGATCCAAACATCTGAAAAAGGCCGAAGCGTACAAAGGTCGAAACGTTTTGAATATGGCAATGAAGATGAGGATAACAGTCTGAATAATGTAAACAATGCAAGTAAAATATTTCTTTTCAACTGACTCAACAGAAAAATATTGACATTACAATAAAAAGGGAAAAGCACATAAGTATGTAATTTAAATTGTTTTATCTTCATTCGTATAATTGGCTCACTTGATTAACTGTGTCCAATTTAACCGGAACAAGGGCACATACGCCGTTTATTCATAAATGGCCTAGCTATTATTAACGAAAAAATTACCCTAACTGAATGAAGGTCACCTTAGTCCATTTCAAAATATTCCCTTTATGACTTTGAATACTTATTCGTCTTCAATTTTTCAAGACAATGTGCAAAGCCATCTTTGGGGATTACCATCAGCGGCATCGCCACCTTCTTATTAATCTCGTCCCCAGTCTAAAATCTCTCTTTTAACGACAAATGTAGGCAGGGGAAAGTGTGTAAGACTAAGAGGATCATATCTGGATCGTATAATTGTGCTCACAGATTTAGTTGATGCGTTGTCTTGATACAAGACAAACCCTGAACACAATATGATGAATCCAAAGACGAGAGATTCAAAATAGCTGGAACCTTTCGGGATATATCGTGTTTGTTTTGTTTTTGACAGTGCCAGTTTCTCTGGCACTAATATATCGTGCACATATATTGTTTTATATATATATATATATATATATATATATATATATATATATATATATATATATATATATATATATATATATATTCATATACAGATACACTCAAGCTAATGTCCGTGCTAGTGTGTATATGTAGTTATGTTAGTGTTGTTAGAAGGTGATTGATGTGTGGTTATCTATACGGTGTTATTTTCTCCAAGAGAAAAAAATACTTGTACGACGGCACCAATGACCGTTTGTCAGTCAAGACAGAGATTTATTACTAACGCCATTTTTTTCCATTGTTTTGTTTTTATTTCAGACAGTTTTTTCGCTTTTATCGACATTATTATCTTCTTTCTTTTTCCGAATTACATTTTGTGTTCTTTTCTCTCTCTCTCTTTCTTTTTCTTACTCTTTCTCTCTCCCCTCTCACTCTCTTTCTACCAAACTATCTCTCGGCCTATCACTCTCTTTCTCGCTCTTTTCCGTTGTCTTTTTTTTGATTTCTTAGTTATTTTTTACCTGTCAGTATCAATCAAAAATAATTATTTTGTTTGTTAATTCTTATGAATATTAACATTTAATACTACTCCTACTACTTCTGCTACTACTACTACTACTACTACGACTAATAATAATAATAATAATAATAATCTTCGTTGTCTTTTCCGTTTCATTGTTTTTCTATGCGCCCAGTCTGTTTGGGACGTCTTTTTACTAACTGTTCACAATACAAGGCTTAAGAGTCTCCCAAGAAAAAAGTGCCGCGAATAACGACAAAATTGAATATATATATATATATATATATATATACACATAGGTAAAAACATTGTTAGAAAAATTCTGTACTAAAAGCTTATTGTATAGATTAGAAAGAGAATTGGAAAAAAAGTGTTATTTATAATACAGGATGTCCATAAAGTTCGTGTGCATTTAAAAAAATTTTTATAGTGCACACAAACTTTATGGACACTCTGTATATGAATTTTTACAGAGAAGAATTAAAGCTTTGTAACTTACAATTGGATTTTCAGTGATTTTTGCTTAGAAAATTAATTTGTTGTTTTCCTTTTTTATACTTTTTTTTTTTTTACTTTAACCAGTTTCGCTTAGCTTTCCAAAAAGCTTTTAACTTTCTATCACTGATAATCCAATTGTTAGTAACAAATTTTTAACTCATCTCTGTAAAAATTCATATATATATACATATATATATATATATATCCGATGCGATGAGAACGGAAGTAATATATAAATTCCAACGTTCACAGCATTAATCCAAAAGAGGGCTCGATACCGATAGTAGAGCGATAATTATTTATATAATTTTATGATATAGACAAAACCATTTTACTTACTACAAAGATGCAACTTGGTTTCAGTGCATTTCAACTGCACTTCGATTCTCACCCGTCGAAGTGCAGTTGAAATGCACTGAAACCAAGTTGCATCTTTTGTGTGTAAAATCGTTTTGTCTATATGATAAAAATAATATATATATATATATATATATATATATATATATATATATATATGACAGCGAAGATTTTCATAAATGTAAATGCAAGTTCAGTCGCAGTCTTCTGACTTTTTTGAATGTTATTCTTTTATTGTCATTTCTCAATAGGTTTTATCGTTTTTTTTTTCTCCGTAACCACTTGCATCTTAGTGGCTTCATCGCCTTACATGGGGTGAAATACTAAAAACGAAATTTCAAAAAGAAAATAACTACTATTTTTACATCAAACTTTTATCTGATAGATTTATTAATTATAGCTGAAAAAAGCTTTTGTAATGCAAAATCAATTTTACGTCATTAACAGAAGTATTTTTAAGAATTTATATAATAATACAAATGAAGCTTTTCGTCTGAAATTCTAGGTTGAAAAGTTATCAGTATTTACTTTATTTCACACGGACTATTGTCCTCATCTTTGTTGTTATTATCACAACATTACAGCTGTTGGGCCCAGCTCGATTCATCAGGTGTTTGTCGGTCTGTTGCAGGTAGGTGTATGCATTGAGTGATAAACGCGTTGGTCTCCTGAAATGCCCACAACAAACATGGCAGACTCGGGATGTGAGTCCACGAAAAGAAATGTAGGGACGACAAGAACCGATCCATATGTACAAACAAATGATAATGTATAAACAACAAAATGGGTTACAAGTGAAAAATGATAATAATGTGTGTGACAAATAAATGTGGAAACTTTTTTGTTCTAAAATATGTGAAGTGAATGAATGTGTGTACGTATGTATGTGTATCGTTCATGTGTTTTCCAGAAAAGGGAACGCATTTTTCCGCGAGAGATTTACATGTCATCGTATAAGTGGAAAAGTAAGAAGAGTGTGATAAAACATATCGCAGAGTAGTTTTGTGTCTCATCTTTGTCGCCATATTTATCACAACGTTTCGGCCCTTCAGTATCTGTCTATATTTCTGAGATGAGGCATTATGTACACTATTTACATTATTCAGTCTATTGTCCTCATCTTTGTCGCCATATTTATTACAACGCTTCGGCCCTTCAGTACCTGTGTATATTTCTGAGATGAGGTATTATGTACATTATTTACATTATTCGGACTATTGTCTTCATCTTTGTCGCCATATTTATCACAACGTTTCGGCCCTTCAGTATCTGTCTATATTTCTGAAATGAGGCATTATGTACACTATTTACATTATTCAGTCTATTGTTCTCATCTTTGTCGCCATATTTATTACAACTTTTCGGCCCTTCAGTACCTGTGTATATTTCTGAGATGAGGTATTATGTACATTATTTACATTATTCGGACTATTGTCCTCATCTTTGTCGCCATATTTATCACAACGTTTCGGCCCTTCAGTATGTGTCTATATTTCTGAGATGAGGCATTATGTACACTATTTACATTATTCAGTCTATTGTCCTCATCTTTGTCGACATATTTATTACAACGTTTTCGGCCTTCAGTCTATATTTCTGAGATGAGGCATTATGTACACTATTTACATTATTCGGACTATTGTCCTCATCTTTGTCGCCATATCTATTACAACGTTTCGGCCCTTCAGTATATGTCTATATTTCTGAGATGAGGTATTATGTACATTATTTACATTATTCGGACTATTGTCCTCATCTTTGTCGCCATATTTATCACAACGTTTCGGCCCTTCAGTATCTGTCTATATTTCTGAGATGAGGCATTATGTACACTATTTACATTATTCAGTCTATTGTCCTCATCTTTGTCGACATATTTATTACAACGTTTTCGGCCTTCAGTCTATATTTCTGAGATGAGGCATTATGTACACTATTTACATTATCTGGACTATTGTCCTCATCTTTGTCGCCATATCTATTGCAACGTTTCGGCCCTTCAGTATATGTCGATATTTCTGAGATGACGTATTATGAACACTATTTACATTATTCCGACTATTGTCCTCATCTTTGTCGCCATATTTATCACAACGTTTCGGCCCTTCAGTATATGTCTATATTTCTGAGATGAGGTATTATGTACACTATTTGCATTATTCCGACTATTGTCCTCATCTTTGTCGCCATATTTATCACAACGTTTCGGCCCTTCAGTATCTGTCTATATTTCTGAGATGAGGCATTATGTACACTATTTACATTATTCAGTCTATTGTCCTCATCTTTGTCGCGATATTTATTACAACGCTTCGGCCCTTCAGTACCTGTGTATATTTCTGAGATGAGGTATTATGTACATTATTTACATTATTCGGACTATTGTCTTCATCTTTGTCGCCATATTTATCACAACGTTTCGGCCCTTCAGTATCTGTCTATATTTCTGAAATGAGGCATTATGTACACTATTTACATTATTCAGTCTATTGTCCTCATCTTTGTCGCCATATTTATTACAACGTTTCGGCCCTTCAGTACCTGTGTATATTTCTGAGATGAGGTATTATGTACATTATTTACATTATACGGACTATTGTCCTCATCTTTGTCGCCATATTTATCACAACGTTTCGGCCCTTCAGTATGTGTCTATATTTCTGAGATGAGGCATTATGTACACTATTTACATTATTCAGTCTATTGTCTTCATCTTTGTCGCCACATTTATTACAACGTTTCGGCCTTTCAGTATCTGTCTATATTTCTGAGATGAGGTATTATGTACACTATTTACATTATTCCGACTATTGTCCTCATCTTTGTCGCCATATTTATTACAACGTTTCAGCCGTGTAACGTTCCGGTTCTTCTTCAGCTGGTTGGAATGTCGAGCTGAACCCTTTATTTCGCTCACTGGGGTAGATTGTTCTAGTTCCACGTGCCATATTTAATGGATGTCAGTTATCAGTTTTCTCCTGTTAATTTCCCTGATGAAGTTCGGGGCATACAACGGCCGAAACGTTGTAATAAATATGGCGACAAAGATGAGGACAATAGTCCGAATAATATAAATAATGTAAAAAAGACGAAATTTATTAAGAGCTACAAAGGACGGGAAGTTGTGGCGAGCCATGACTGGCAACGTCCTGAACTGATACGGCACATAGAAGAAGAAGAATAAACTAACAAGCCAGCATTTAATTTCGAATCTGACTCCAAGTCAAATACAAATGAAAACAGAAAGAATTTACTTCTAAAATATTTGAATTTAGCTATAAACACTTTTCTGTTTCTCTCATTATCTTCCCTCTCTATTCCAGTTTGTGTTTCTCTCCCCCTCTCTCTTTCCCCCTCTCTCTCTTACTCCTTCTCTCCCTCTCCCTAGCACCATATCACTACCTTTCCCTCTCTCTTTCTTTTTCTCTCCGCCTTTTTCTCCTTCTCATTACAAGGTGCATTAAAGCTGTCAGCGACTTACATCCATATCACGTTGAATGACCGGTTCCCGTAAAATCACCGAAGTTAAGCAACGTTAGCCTGTTTAGTACCTAGATGGGTGACCGCTTGGAAGTACAAGGTGTTGTAAGTTTGGATGTGAAGATTGACTTGGAACTATTAATGGGAGAGCCGAGTTGCAATTCCAATTGGGATCGTTATATTCACTTATGCGCAAATACCCTTGGGGAAGATATGAATATACCACTTCTACCCCCAGATATGGGTTAATTAGTAAGACTTCTATCACTAAACCATTATTATCTAAAAAAAAAAAAACTTCTTACACTTTAAAAGTATTTCTAGTTTTAAATAACCTGGAAAGGGTTGATAAGCCGTAAAAATCAATCAATAAAATATCAGCATACTTTGATCAAAATGGGGCTGCAAAGGATGTCAACAGCTGCACCAACAAGAATAGAACACAACGGAAGATAGATAGATAGATGTGAACAGGCTGAACTAGATAGATAGATAGATAATGAACAGACTGAGATAGATAGATAGATAATGAACAGACTGAGATAGATAGATAGATAGATAATGAACGTAGATAGATAGATAGATAGATATCAGCCGACAGAGAATAGGATTGATAGATAGATAGGTAGATACGAAGGGAGCAGACATACGTACATAGATAACTGAATACTCCAATGTAATTTCTGGTATGATGAATGCATTCTTTCGATATTCGAACTAATGTTACAACATTTCCAGGTGTCTATCAATCCGTATAAACTTCAGAGGAATTCAAACTCAACCCTTTACTTAATCTACGCGGTAAATTCTTCCATTTCCACCGTCCACCATTATATTTCAAGGTTTTGTCGTCGGAGGTAGACAGACCCTGAACCCGTTTATACGGGTTCGAAGGGAATATTTTTGGCCGAGCCTTCGGGTTCGGAGAACCCACGATAAACTCGGCCTTGTGCCACATACGACCCACCTGGGGGAGCCGTTAAATATGACGGATGACTGTTGTGTTGAAATGGGTACACGAGTCGCAGACAATGATTGAGGAGGAATGGTTTGCAGTCATGGTTTACGAGGAAAAAATAAACACTTTTTTTATTACAATCGTTTATGCTGTTGTCACTTGTGTCAATCCTACAGTGACACACGCTAAATACTCCAGGCTAGTTGCGAGGTTTCAATTTAACCGGAAGGCCATAGAAAACAAATGCCAAAATGTTGTGATAACCGTCGCATAGATTCACGCCAGGAAATATCAAATATATTAATCAAATTTAATCGCGTTATGAAACCTTGATCTATTAGGAGTTGATCTGTGAGTTGACCTTAGGGTGACCCCACTAGTTACTGGGGTCACCGAAGTGATACCAAAGTACACTTTGTAATCGGTGGCACCTCAGATAGTCTAATGATCTAGGAGTTCGGAAGATTAAGCTAGAAGGTAACCTCATAACCACAAATGTGAAGAATCGTCTCGTACGTTTTAAGTACTGCTCAGTTATTACCCACTCTGTTTCTAAGCGTCCGAGTGATTGCACTCAGAAATACTGTGTCGTCATATTCCCCCAATCAACGTTTTTATACTTGTAGACGTATTTGTATAGCCAAGGACGCATTCCAAAAGCTGGGCAGAGAATTACGAGACAAGAGGATCTCTTTGGGAATGAAGAAAAGACTTCTGAGCTGTTACATGGTATTTTTCTTCCTTTACGGCAGCGAATGTTGGACGGTCACCTCAAAGATGAAGAAGAGACTCGAGGCTATGGAGATGTGGCTCTACAGAAGGACGCTGAGAATATTATGGATCGAGCGTGTAAGCAATGATGAGGACTTGGAGAGGATGTAAACCAGAAAGGAGGCTTATACTTAACGTCAAGAAGAGGCAGCTGAAGTTTCTGGGATATGTAATGAGAAAAGAGGGTCTGGAGAATCTAATACTCACAGGTCGAATAGAGAGAAAAATAGAGAAAGGATAGCAACGCATGACATACCTGGTAGGCAGGAGCAAGTGGATGACAGAACGTGGACTGGGGGAGGTGGCAGAGGGACGAAACTTATTGAGAGCGACAAGAGATAGGGAGAAGTGAAGAGCCATGATCGCCTACTTCCTGGAAGGACACGGCATATAAAAAGAAAGTGATTTAACGCAGAGGGCAAAGAACCACCAGTATTTTTTTGCAGCACTAGAATAAAATCCAGAATAAAATAACTTAGCCCCGACACGAGCACAGATTCGAACGCGTCTCGCGTGTAAATAGTCCAAAGAAAGAAATGGCGGCTTCGTGGGTGATACATTTAAAATAGCTCGATCCCGGTGTAAAATACTATCTCGCGATATTATTTCCTTGCATATGCAAATTATGGCAGTCAATAAAAACGGTTAGAACGAGGCGACAGGGTCAGACGGTTCACTGTTGTGGAACGGTGTCAAACCGTTCATTGCTGTCAAACTCTCCGTCTCGGTGGAGAGGAACCGGGACGAAGCTTTGCCGAAGAGCAATGTTTCGTCCGGGGAGGTAGACAGGCCCTGAACCCATTTGTACGGGTTCGAAGGGAATATCTTTGGCCAGGCTACGGGATCGGAGAAACCCACATTAAACTTGACCTTCTGTCACATGCATTCCTCGTTTGGGGTGGGGGGACTTTTAAATATACAGACGGTTGACTTTTGTGGAACGGTGGCAAACCGTTGATTGCTGTCAAACTCTCCCCCGAAGGGCAAAGTTTCGTCCGGGGAGGTAGACAGGCCCTGAACCCATTTATACGGGTTCGAAAGGAATTTTTTTGGCCAGGCTACGGGCTCAGAGAAACCCACATTAAACTTGGCCTTGTTCCACATGCATTCCTCGTGGGGGGGACTGTTAAATATACAGACGGTTGACTGTTGTAAAACGGTGCCAAACCGTTCATTGCTGTCAAACTCTCCACCGAAGGGCAAGGTTTCGTCCGGGGAAGTAGACAGGCCCTGAACCCGTTTATACGGGTTCGAAGGGAATACTTTTGGCCGAGCCTTCAGACTCCGAGAAACCACGATAAACCGGCCTTGTGCCACATACGACCCTCGTGGGGCGTCGTTAAATATGACGGTTCACTGTTGTGTTTAAATGCCTACATGTGTCGCAAACAGTAGAAAAAAGTAGAAAAGGAATGTTTTGCAGGCACGGTTTATGAGAAAAAAATAAACACTTTTTTTATTACAATCGTTTATGCTGTTGTCACTTGTGTCAATCCTACAGTGACACACGCTAAATACTTCAGGCTAGTTGCGAGGTTTCAATTTAACCAGAAGGCCATAGAAAACAAATGCCAAAATGTTGTGATAACCGTCGCATACGATTCACGCCAGGAAATATCAAATATATTAATCAAATTTAATCGCGTTATGAAACCTTGATCTATTAGGAGTTGATCTGTGAGTTGATCTTAAGGTGACCCCACTAGTTACTGGGGTCACCGAAGTGATACCAAAGTACACTTTGTAATCGGTGGCACCTCAAATAGTCTAATGATCTAGGAGTTCGGAAGGTTAAGCCAGAAGGTAACCTCATAGCCACAAATGTGAAGAATCGGGTTGCAAAGGAGGTCAATGGCTGCATCAACAAAATCTGAACACAACTGACGATATATATATATATATATATATATATAGATAGATATGAAGAGGCTAAGACAGATATGAGCAGAGATAGAGAGATATGAAACAAATGGGAGAGAGAAAGAGAGATGACACATATGAAGAGGCTAAGATAGATATGAGCAGCAAAAGAGAGATAGATAGATGGATAGGCAGATAGATAGAAAAGACTAAGGTAGCTAGGCAGGTAGATATGAAAAGAATGATAAATAAATCAGATATATATGAAGAGGTTAAGATAGATATGAGAAACGATATATAGATAGGCAGGATAGATATAAAGAGGCTAAGATATATACGAGCAGATAGATAGATAGATAGATAGATAGATAGATATAAACAGAATGAGATAGATAGAAAAGACCGAGGAAGATAAATAAGATACATATGAAGAGTCTAAGATATATATGAGCAGCGATAGATACATAGATAGATAAAAAGGGTGAGATGAATACACACACACACACACACACACACACACACACATATATATATATATATATATGAAGCTAGATAGAATTGAGATAGATAAGAAAAGAATGAGTTAGATAGGCGTGAAAAGACTGAGATGAATAGATCGATACATACATATATATATATATATATATATGAAGACAGATAGAAAGATAGATTGATAGATAGACGAGAAAAGATTGAGTTAGATAGTTATGAACAGACCGAGATGTATAGATATATCTGAGGATACTGAGATAGATACAGAAATAGCTAGCTAGCTAGATATGGGTAGCTTGTGATAGATAGATAGATAGATAGATAGATAAGAACAGACCGAAATAGATAGAGAGTTACACATAGATAGGGATAAACATAGATAGATAGATAGATAGATAGATAGATAGTGAGAAATAATGTGGCTTCCGTGTGGGTGTGTGCATAAGATATGTGTGTTTCCTTCGGAATTTTCCATTTCCCAGATCTGAAGAAACGGTGATCTAATCAGGTGTTGTGTTCGCTAATAAATTAAAACCTACCCCTTCCCCCTGACCAACGCCGGGTTCGCAGATCATATTGCCAAATAATTCGCTGCCAATCGATCGATAAACTGTTCAGAATAATCGATCATCCAGTCATTAAAACCATGTCGACATGGTGGAACGGTGGAGAAAGAAGAAACAGTAACACTGAGAGAATAGTTGTCTAACTTAATGAGAATGGCACACGATGAGGCAAATGAAAATTGTATGGTCGACGAAAGAAAGAAAGGAAGAAAGATTAAACGAAAGAAAGAAAGAGAAGAAAGAAAGAAAAATGAAAGAAAGAACGAAAAAGAAAAATGAAAGAAAAAAGAAGAAACAAAGAAAAAAGAAAGAACGATAAAGAAAGAAATAATGAAAGAAAGAATGAAAGAAAGAAAGAAAAACAGAGCGAAAAAAGAAAGAAAGAATGAAAGAAAGAAAAAAGAAGAAAGAAAGAATGAAAGAAAGAAAAAAGAAGAAAGAAAGAAAAGAAATAAATAAAGGACGAAAGAAGTAAAGAAAGAAAGAAAGAAAAAAAGGGAAATAAATAAAAAAGAAAAAAAGAATGAAAGAAGGAAAACAGATTGAAAGAGAAGCAGAGCGTAAAAAGAAGGGAAGAATGAAGGAAAAAGAGAGAAAGAAAAATAAAGAAAGGAAGAAATAGATATATATTAAAGAAGGAAGTAAATAAAAAAGAAAGAATGAAAGAAAGAAACAAGAAAGAAAGAAAGAAAGAAAGAAGAAAGAGAAAGAAAGAAAGAAAAAGTAAATAATGTATGAGAGGAAGAAAAAAGAAAACGAAAGAAAGAAGGAAAACGAAAAAAGGAAAGAAAGAAAGAAAAAAAGAAAAAAAGAAAGGGAAAGAAAGAGTTTGGGGAAAAAAAGTAAAAGATGGAAAAATAACGAAGAGGACAGAAAAGAAAATAACTGAGAAGAGAAATAAAAGGAAAGCAGAAGTGGGAGGAAGAACGTGAATGTCTTTTGATAGAATGAATGATGAAAAAATAGGGGATGAAAAAGATGGAAAGAGAAAAGATAGAAAGAAGTCATGAATATATATATATATAAACACTTAGGCCTGACGATTGCGTCCAGCATGAAACAGACTGTTGCCTCTAAGTGTTGACTTCTTTGTTCACTTTTATATATATATTTCAATATTTTATATTACTAGGATCCACTTATAGCAAAGGTAATAAATCCGTTGGTATATAATCCAAGTGGATCCTAGTAATATAAAATATTGAAACTGATCCACAAAAAGAGCTCCTTTTATTTATTATTACAGAGCAAATGATTAATACACAATAGAATCCCAAATCATTTCTCATAAGACATAAGCTTATTTCAGCCGACGAAAATATAATTCGTCAATATGTATATATATATATAAGTCCAATATTTCATCCTTAATCCAGTCTATTAATCTATTAATGAAACCTAGTTTTTTCTCATTCTATGCATGTTTATGTCTAAGTGTATATATATATATATATATATATATATATATATATATATATATATATATTTTTATATATATATATATATATATATATATATATATATATTTTTATATATATATATATATATATATATATATATATATATAGAGAGAGAGAGAGAGAGAGAGAGAGAAAAAAAGACAGACAAAGGGGAGGAGGGAGAGAGTATATTGTGTTAATATCTATCTAGTTCTTTCTCTTCACATCTATTTATCTATCTAGTTTATTCTATTAATATCTAATTTATTCTATTAATAACTCTCTCTCTCTCTCACACAGACAGACACACACACACACACACACACACACACACATATATATATATATATATATATATATACCAAGCGTAACAACGAATTCGCCCAAATCGTGTAACAACATCCGATAATTGTTCATCTTATAAAATTTTGAGTTATTCAGTTAGAAAGAGTTCAGGTTAAAATTGTTTTGTGTCAGTCAAACTATGTCTTTCCAAAAAAGATCATTCAGACCTTGATTAATGGTAACAGAATTCATACTGTGGCTTTCATCTTCAATGTTTATTCGAGAACCTTCAAGGCAACGGTGAATAAGTTTAAAAAGAGGGAAGAGTAGAGAGGAAAACTTGATCAGGAGGTCAAAATAGCAGGAGTGATTATCAATTCATCTAAGAGCATTCTTATTGTTCAAAGTAGATTCCAATAGAGTTATAAAAACCTCGGATAATTTCAGTAAGATACCTTTAATAAATCGTTTCCAAGATACAACGGTTCAAAGCTTAATCTCACAATTGGACAATTTTGCCGGTATATATATATATATATATATATATATATATATATATATAGCTGGCGGCTATCCAATTCCTATCGCTCAGGCGCTTTTGTGTTTATTCAAAAACCACAGAGCCCACCTGTGGTTTATACGGTTATTGTGCTGAGTCGCTCTTAGTTGCAGTTTCTGAGAGAGAGAGAGAGAGAGCGTGTTATTTAGCAACAATTTGAACAAGACCAACACGCTCGAGACGTCGGCAACGATGACTTGTGACTGTCTGCTATCGATGGCGCCGACGAGTTCCGTCTACCCGCTTTGTTTCACTCACAAGGCTTGGTTCAACCCGTGCTATGTTTTTCAGGCAATTTCCAATAACATGAATATATACATATATATTGTTGAGAGGTTCTCCCCTTTTTACACAAATGGACTCACCCAGTATATACATATACTACGGCTACGTGAAGACCCGAGAGACGAGAGCAACCGGGGGTGAAGGTAACAGACAGACAGACAGAACGGATATAGCGAACAAGAGTCACCGTGAGCGAAAGGCTCAGTAAGAAGTCATACAGCGATACTTCAATACCAAAGACTGTATAGATATTTTGATACTAACCCGTATTCCTGCAACTACTAACCTGCATTACCAGTTTGTATTATTACGTTAATACATTATTTTCCTATATTCATTCCTGGCGTTTGTTATTTATTGTTTCGGGATTTCATCCCGGAATTCACAACAATTTGGCGACGAGGATATCGAACTCACACGGGGAGAACAAAAAAGACAAAATTCTCCCTCGTCAACTTGGCGACGAGGACTTTGAACTCACAGGGAAGAAAAAAAATGTTCTCTCTTGTCGACCACAACAACTTGGCGACGAGGATATCAAATTCACACGGGAAGAACAAAAAAGATAAAATTCTCCCTCGTCAATTTGGCGACGAGGAAATTTGAACTCACACACGAAGGGAACAAAAGAAAAATTCTCCCTTGCCGACCACAACTTGGTGACGAACGAGGAATTGGGACCTACACGGAAAGAAAAAAAAATTCTCTCTTCTCACCACAACAGCTTGAGCGACAAGAATTTGAACTTCTCGGAGACTCAAAATAGAAAATTGCCGTTTTTGCCAGTATCCACAACAACTGGGTAACAAAGAGTTACGAGGATTAAAATAAGGAAAATCGAGTTTTTCGTAAGACTCTTATCATGGAGGATTTTAAAAGTATTTTAGTAGAACTTGTAAAATACTAAAATGAACAGCAAATACAACTTCAAGAAAGACAAAATAAACAGCAATTACAATTCCAAGAAAGAATGGAAAAATATTACTACAAACGGAGAAGGAAAATCATAAAAGACAAATTCAAAATGCAGAAAGACAAATACAACACCAGGAGCTAATTGTAAAAGTAGCGAGTAATACACAACAACAAAATATTGAAAAAAGAGGCGACTTTTTCTCAAGACGCAGTATGGAACACGATAGTGATGTGGGGCCAAAGTTGGGACTACAGAAGTAAAACACGGAACACGGATTAGATGTAAGAAAGATATATTAACAAAAGATTACAGAGATAGTGTAAGCGGACCTTACTATAAGTTAGTGTCCAATACTGGTAGTCGTACGCGGCTCTGACTGTCTCTCTCTGTGTCACTCTCTAGAGTGCTATGTCGCCTACTTAATATAGGCCTGGAAGAGTCTATTGTGTAGGTAGTTTCCGGTCCACAATAGATAAACACATTCAAATACTCCCTAGAAGAGGATAAAAATTTAGGGGACTTTTTCAAACGTCGTGAAGACATCTTCAACATCGATTTTCAAAACTGGACGGAAGCAAAGAAGTTACGACTATTACTCAGGAAATTAGGAACGGATGAATACACAAAATTCGTGGATTACATTTTGCCAAAGAAGACAAATGATTTAACGTTTAATGAAGCAGTTACATGCCTGACGGAGCTTTTCAGCCCGAAGACGTCACTCTTTCACAAAAGGTGGAAATGTCTTAACCTCGTAAAGGATGAAAATGAGGACTATTCTACGTTCGCCGCAATCGTGAATAAACATAGCGACGATTTCAAGTTGGCAGAATTAACTCCAGACAATTTCAAGTGTCTTATTTTTGTACAAGGGTTAGTCTCAGCAAAGGATAGCGAAATGCGCAAAAGAATGCTTTCGAAACTGCAAAATGAACCTGGATTAACACTACAGAAACTATCGGACGACTGCCAAAAATGCCCGAGCATAAAGAAAGACTCGAAGGATATTGAGGAGTCAGGAGTATCACATATACGTAAGTTAAACAAAAGTTCACGTTTTTCACCCTCCCCGGAAAGAAAACGAAAATTCTATAATAATGAAAAAAGTACAACGTATAGGGCAAATAATGACGAAAATCAAAACAAATATAAGCCCCCCCCCATCTGTATGTTATCGATGTGGAGGACTACACTGGAATAAGGATTGTCGTTTTAAATATAAAAACTGACATGCGTGTGGAAAAATGGGTCACAAGGCATCTCAATGTAGGAACAGAAAATCTACTAGTAGGATAAGTGCTACTAGAATTCATGATGAAGACAATACTAACATAAGGAAATATGTGTAACTTGAAATCTTAAATAAAAAGATAAAATTGCAACTAGATTCAGGTTCGGATCTGACGATAATTAACCTACAAACATGGAGAAAGCTTAATAGACCAACCATGTTACATACACAGAAAATTGCTAAGTCTGTTACAGGAAAGCGTATAAAATTCGTAGAAGTAATCCTAAATGTAAAATTTCACGGGAAAACAAGAAAACTCAAAATATTCGTAATAAAAGATACAGAAAATCTGGTGGGCACAGACTGGATGCAGAAGTTCGACGTATGGGATTTACCTATCAGTTCGTTTTGTAAAAAGATGGAGTGCGAATCATCAGAAGCGACAAAGTTAAAGGAAGAATTACATAATCAATTTCCCGAGGTATTTTCGAGCGGGTTGGGACGATGCAACAAGTTTGTAGCAAGAATTGAATTAAAAGAAAATGTCCAACCAGTATTTAAAAAGAAGCGGAACGTGCCGGTTGCTACCATAGAGAATGTCGACAAAGAATTAAAGAGACCTTTGAAAAAAAAAATTAACAAACTAGGAAACGTGATGTACACAATACAAGGAGAAAGATTTACCCATAGAAGACATATTGACCAAATACAAAAAAGACGGTTTGAAGAGCCAAGCTCGTCACCCGCTGAAAAGGATGATTCGATGGAGGCAATCTTTGAAGCTTTTGAGATTCAAAGACCACACGAAGAGACAGAAATTAGAAGGACTAGCAGGAAAAGAAAAATTACAGAGCCTCTGATTATCGACCATACAAAGGAAAAGATATTAACTCCTCCCAAAAAGGTATCTAAGGAGGGGATGATGAGGGGTTCTCCCCTTTTTACATAAATGGACTCACCCAGTATATACATATACTACGGCTACATGAAGACCCGAGAGACGAGAGCAACAGAGTGTGAAGGTAACAGACAGACAGACAGAACGAACGTAGCGAACAAGAGTCACCCTGAGCGAGCAGGAAAGACTCAGTGTGAAGTCATACAGCGATACTTCAATACCAAAGACTGTATAGATATTTTGCTACTAACCCGCATTCCTGGAACTACTAACCTGCATTACCAGTTTGTATTATTACGTTAATACATTATTTTCCTATATTCATTCCTGGCGTTTGTTATTTATTGGTACCGGATTTCATCCCGGAATTCACAACATCTACACACACACACACACACACACACACACACACACACACACACACACACACACACATATATATATATATATATATATATATATATATATGTATATATGTACCGGGTGTGACAGCAAAATTATATATATATATATATATATATATATATATATATATATATTATAAACAGAGCATTTACTTAAATATTTGTATCTATAAAAAGAATGTAGAAACACAAAATGTAATAAAATTTCTCCATTTCGTAATGCGTGACGTCATTTGTTTACATTTGATACGCCATGAGCAGATATGAATGTACGTGAGAGATTCAGGGATGATTGAAGTTTAAATACAGTAAATTCGACCTTGCTCATCCAACGATCCTCTGTGGCCGAATCAGTTAAAAGACGTGTCAGCTATATGACTGTTCTGTATAGGATACAGGTTCGATTCCTGTCAGAGGACGAATATTTTCTATGAAAATATCTCGGGTATTCATGCCGGTAAACGTTGTTTATTATAAAACAGAGCATTTAGTTAAGTATTTTTATCTATAAAAAGAATGTATAAACATAAAATGTCTTACAATATACATATATATATATATATATATAGAATCTTTTAATAAGCAGCGTCACATTTTTAAGGTCGTGGGCCTTAATTGGCTACATCCACGGACAATGTTTGGACAAACTACAAACCTTGGTTCTAAACTTCAGGGTCAGGACCCTGCCATGTCACTCACATGATAACGAACCACCCACATTCCCTCGAGCAGCTTCTTCCTGCGAACCACTGCCCTGTGGAACCGACTCTCCAAGAAGATGTTTCCTTGATCATTAAGACCTGTTCAAGTCTAGGGTTAATAGTAAGTTTCCCTTCCTATCAGCATAAACTATTTCTTTTTGGAAATCTCTACCTCGACTGACCACTAGACTCTATTATAAAACATAATTCTTTTCATATCAACGTCGATTTAAGTTTAACTAAATGTGCCGATTAAATATAAAGTTTTTGGTGATACTAATCAATTCAGTATTTCAGAAATCGATAAATATGACTGGGTGTTTAATTGTAATTTTATAATTAATACGTGATTTTATGTTGGCCTTAAATCAATCGTGTCATGTTACTTCTGATACTTCAGCTGAACTAAAATATATGACTTCACTGTAGATAACCTTATACAATTAGGCAAACATTTTACCTTCATTCAGTGTGTTAAGACTGATGTCTGGTTTTCTTGATAAAAAGCTACTATCGGTGTTCAGATTTATTTTAAGGCTATTAATGAAATCTTATGAATATAACAACGATAATGATAAAAAATCTTCAAATAAATCAGTTTATGAAGATAATTGCAAAATTGTGTGTGTAAAATAAAGAAGAAAAATCTCAACCAATAAACAGTCACATAAATTGGAGGAAACATATTGTATTTCTGATACACGATAAATTTTACACGGTCAGGTGTAAAATACAGGCAATATATAGCAAGCTCTTTTCAATGGCCTGTGAATTGGCTAATCAGCAACTAGTAAGATTGCGAGATTTCCTGTTAAAAAATTGGTTTTTGCTTCAGTTAGAATTTTGGTTTGATAGCAAAACGAACTTCCAACCTCTTCATAATTTAAAAATGGTTGGCAACATTTTCCTACTGATGACAATAAAAGTAGTCAATATAGAACACGCGTTGTGTTATTTATTACTTCAAGTAAACGTTTATCCTGGTGAAAGAATGGCAGATTTGGCTTTCAGCAAGAAACAGAGACAGTAAAGACTAATGCAGTGAGACACTCGGTACAGCCCAGTATAGAACAGAGACCATAGTTATCAAAACACATGTTTGAATAATATATGATGTGATAATGTCACATTCTTACACAGGATCATTCCCTAATTCACTTTAAACCTCTAAATAATCGAGAACTACTCTGCAAAATTTCCCCCACTGGGGACAATAAAAGTAGCCAATATAGACCATGCGTTGTGCTATTTATTACTACAAGAAAACGTCTCTGGGAAATGGACTACAGATTAGAAAATAATTAATCCTTCATAAGGCTACATAACTGTTTTTGAATATGGATACTCCATTTTTTGACTGTAAAGACACAACTTGTCAATAGGAGCCAGATACTTTCCCGAGCCGTACAAGAAACAGAACCTTTTTTAGCGATAATATATATATATATATATATATATATATATATATATATATATATATACCTTGATATTTTCTATTGGGGAACAAAAAAAAAAAAGGCAAAAAAATACAATACGTGTGCAGAAAAGGCTTGAAAGTTTTGTGGGTCACCGGGAATCTCTTTTCGCCACTGTCAATCGCGGAAAAATGGCGTGGTTTGGACATGTTACAAGGCACGTCATCTTGTGCAAGACCATCATGTAAAGAACCATTGAAGGTGGACGTAGAAGAGGACGACAACGCCAAAAATGGTTGGAAAATGTCAAACTATGGACAGATATGACTATACAAGAATTGTCAATAGCTGCCGTTGATAGACCGTTGTGGAGGTGATCAACATGGCTTCTGCATTTGGGTCCCCACTACGATTACAAAAGTCAAGTGGATAATCATGATGATGATGGCGATGATGATGATGGTGATGATGAATATACGATTCACCTTGTGGTCTGCAGTGAAACTTAGTCCCAATAAGACTTCGAAGCAAGCAGACTCATTAGAAAACTAAGTTGAATCGGTGTGAAATTCCTTCCAAGTCTATTACGGCAGTAAGAACAAACACATTAAAATCGCTGCAATATTGAAAGCAAGTGTAAAATTTGCATGCGTAAAATAAAGGAGAATAAGTTAAGATTCAGTATTAAATAGAAAAATATCACAAAAGATTGAGGAATCGGAAAGCCGAGTTCGAATTCCAGTCGAATCCATTATATTCAATTACGTGCTAATACCCTTGGGAAAGGTATGAATCCCCCCAAGCTATGGATAAAATAGCAGGACAGTCCTGGTTCTATAGCTTTGGATGACAACTGGTCTATCGCAGAAAGAAATGGCGGGAAGAAATCTGCCTCGTCAGTCATGTATCGAAAGATGCATGATCGCCTAAGCGTGTATCACGCATGACACATAACTGACTGATTGTCCATCGACATCTTCTGACGCTTTGAATTCTGTTCTTTTATTGTCCTACCTTTTTAAGTAACTCATTGAATCCTAGTAGCTTTTATCACCTTGGACTTGAGTGATGAAAAAAGGCAAATAAGGAAGAGAAAGAATATTTCGCTTACTAGTGGACACATGGTCTGTAAAATGTTAGAAAACCCACTCACTTACCACTCTCCGTCAAGGACAAGTAGTCGGCAAAATATCTCTAGTAATGCAGACTATATGCGTTGTTCTATTTAATAAAACAAGAAATCCTTCTTCCCTTCATTAATGTAGATAGAAAGTGTGACTATGTTGTTCTGATGACAGCAGTGAAGACTAATGCTGTGATTCAACCGGCTAATGGTGTTAACCATTTGAGCCCTTTATACCTGAACAATTTTAATCATTCTACCTGAACCCACGAGTCAAATAATTGGTATGTAATGTTTCACGGTAAATATAAAAATAATTACAAGTGTTTACCAACTGTTCAACCGGTGGCTGGGCATTAAATCAATTTTCTCTACCACTGTGCAACCGGTGGACGGGATTACGTCATTTTTTTCTACCACTGTTCAACCGGTGGCTGGCATTACATCATTTTTCACTACAACAGTTCAACCGGTGGCTGGGGATTACGTCATATTTCTCTACCACCGTCCAACCGGTGGCTGGGGATGTTAAAATGGTGACTGGGGATTACGTCATTTTTCTCTACCACTGTTCAACCGGTGGCTGGCATTACATCATTTTTCACTACAACAGTTCAACCGGTGGCTGGGGATTACGTCATATTTCTCTACCACCGTCCAACCGGTGGCTGGGGATGTTAAAATGGTGACTGGGGATTACGTCATTTTTCTCTACCACTGTTCAACCGGTGGCTGGCATTACATCATTTTTCATTACAACAGTTCAACCGGTGGCTGGGGATTACGTCATATTTCTCTACCACCGTCCAACCGGTGGCTGGGGATGTTAAAAATCGTGACTGGGCATTACGCCATTTTTCGCTACCACCGTTCAACCGGCGGCTGGGCATTACGCCATTTTTCGCTACCACCGTTCAACCGGCGGCTGGGCATTACGCCATTTTTCGCTACCACCGTTCAACCGGTGGTTGATCATTAAGTCATATTTCTCTACCACCGGTAAAGCAGTGGTCAGGGCTCAAATGTATTAATTATTTTACATGTACAATACCAGCTATGGGCGCGTGTTTCGAATTTGTGAGTAACGAGATTTCCTGATGTTATCGGAATGCTGAGGTCTTTCCCATCGTGCGTTTGCTTTGGAGAGTGCCTGAAATCCATACCAATTGTGAGTGAAATTGTGTAGATGGAAACCTTGATAGCTGTGCTAGCACGAAGGCAAAATTTATCGTGGCCGCGTGCTGGCCTTATTCAAATTGTTGATCACGCTAGATAACACCCCAGAAATTGTAACTAACGTCAGCTATGTATAGTTGCAGTATAAACAACACGGAGGCTCTGTGGGTGTTGAATAAACCAGAAATGCACCTGAGCATGCGCCTGCAATAGGGATTGACAAGCTACCCTTGTAACCAATTTTGCTAGTATCAGGAATATTTTAGCTACGAATAACAGTAAAATATTATTACTGTTTTTCTTTATGTATTTTATATTTCGTTATCTAGGAATAAAGTGTCGCTGCTGACACTTGAGATTGAATATAGATCGCCAGTGAGCAAACACAGGCTATCCCATAATTAAGTGGATCACGTGACAATAGAGGAAACACGTAAGTAGAAAATATCGTGACGACTAACGAACGCTATTTCTAGTCTATCGTCTATGGCTATTCGGATCTCTATTTGTAGTCTATCCTCTATTACTATTCGCATCCCTATCTCTAGTCTATTCTCTATTACTATTCGGACCTCTATTTCTAGTCTATCCTCTATTACTACACGGATCTCTATTTCTAGTCCATTCTCTGTTACTATTCGCATCTCTATTTCTACACTATCCTCTATTACTATTCGGATCACTATTTCTAGTCTATCCTCTATTACTATCGGATCTCTATTTCTAGTGAATCCTCTATTACTATTCGGATCTCTATTTATACTCTATCCTCTATTAATATTTAGATCTCTATTTCTAGTCTACCCTCTATTAATATTCGGTTCTCTATTTCTACTCTATCCTCTATTACTATTCGGATCTCTATTTCTAGTCTATCCTCTATTAATATTTAGATCTCTATTTCTAGTCTATTCTCTATTACTATTCGGATCACTATTTCTATTCTATCCTCTATTACTATTCGCATCTCTATTTCTAGTATATCATTTATTACTATTCGGATCTCTATTTCTATATCCTCTATTAATATTCGGATCTCTATTTCTAGTCTATCCTCTATTACTATTCTAATCGCTATATCCATTCTATCCTCTATTAATATTCAGATCTCTATTTCTAGTCTATCATCTTAATATTCAGATCTCTATTTCTAGTCTATCCTCTATTACTATTCGGATCACTATTTCTAGTCTATCCTCTATTACTATTCAGATCTCTATTTCTAGTCTATCCTCTATTACTATTCTGATCGCTATTTCTAGTCTATCCTCTATTACTACACGGATCGCTATTTCTATTCTATCCTCTATTAATATTCGGTTCTCGTTTTCTAGTCTATCCTTTATTACTATTCAGATCTCTATTTCTAGTCTATCCTCTATCAATATTCAGATCTCCATTTCTAGTCTATCCTCTATTAATATTCAGATCTCTATTTCTAGTCTATTCTCTATTAATATTCGGATCTCTATTTCTAGTCTATCCTCTGTTACTATTCGCGTCTCTATTTCTAGTCTATCCTCTATTACTATTTGAATCGTTATTTCTAGTCTATCCTCTATTAATATTCGGATCTCTATTTCTACTCTATCCTCTATTACTATTCGGATCTCTATTTTTAGTCTATCCTCTATTACTATTCGGATCTCTATTTCTAGTCTCTCCTCTATTTCTATACGAACTGTTATTATCTACTCTATTCACTATACTATTTCTGTATTTGGATCACTATGCGGTGTTTATTTGAGTTGCTAATCTTGATTTGTCTTGGGATTAATAGTGGAGTCGTTTCCCGTTGCCTTCTCCGCAGTGGTTTTTGGAACCACCGCCTTTAGTTAAATGGCTGTTGACTGCTAAGGATACCATGGATCATTCTATAGAAGGAGGCTAGGGATGTCATTGACCGAGCGTGTGAGCAACGATGAGATCTTAGGAGGAGGCTCATAAATAATATCTGTAAGAGGCCACACGAGGAAGGAGGGCCTGGAGAATCTGATACTCACGGGTCGAATGGAGGGAAAAAGTGACAAGGGAAAACAACGCGTGACATACCTGGTGGACTTAAGGAAGTGAATGACAGGACGTGATCTAAGGGAAGAAGCAGAGGGAAGGAACTTGTTGAGAGCTGCAAGGGATAGAGGGAGGTGGAGAGCCATGATCGCCTAAGTCCTGAAAGGACATGGCACATAAAAAGATAGGTGATTACTATTTGAGCGAGTATTATCGAAGGCGTCTGACACCAGAATTGTTCAAGGGCGTTACTAACGTTGTATCTGCGATTACAAAGTCTCTACTACAACGAGCATTACGAAAGTGACAATAAGTATTCGTTGACATTACAAAAGTGGCAACGAGTATTCGTTGACATCACAAAATATTTTCTCTGTATTTTGTGTATATTTTATATACCTACGTCGAGCACTTTTCCCGTAGTATCCAGGAAAACTCTGGCTTTATATTCACACACACACGCACACATTATATATATATATATATATAAATCAATTAATTTATAATATTAATGCTCTGTAAATTTACATTGAGCACTATTTTGTAAAATAAAAATATCTATAAGAACACCGGATTTTATATCTTACTGTTCTTTCTTTTTTATATATATATATATATATATATATATATATATATATATATATATATATATATATATACCGGGAGTAACAGCAGAATTGTCCAAATCGTGTAACACCAAAATTGTCCAATTGTTAGATTAAGCTTTGAACCGTTGTATCTTAGAAATGATTAAATATATATTACTTGAATTCTCCGAGGTTTTTATAACACTACTGGACTCTACTTTGAACAATAAGAATGTATTTAACTCTAAGTTGAAATGATGATCCCTCTTGCTATTGTGACCTCTTGATCCAATTTTTCTCCCTACTGCTCCCTATTTTTTAAACTTATTCACCGTCCTCTTGATGGTTCTTGAATGGACTTTGAAGATGAAAGCCAGAGTATGAATGTAGGTAGCATTACTGAAGGCCCGAATGATCTTTTCCTCTCGCCATTGCTCAGTTGGGAAGACAGTGGGTCTAACACAAAATGATTTTAACCTGTTCTCTTTCTAGCTGATTAACTCAAAGGGTTTTTCAGTGATTCTTATGACAAATTCTATCACGATTTCTAAAAAGTCTTATCTGGGAAAACTGAAGTCAGTTAGTTTAGTGTTTCTTTTAGATATTAAATATTTTGGGGAATGGACAATTATCGCATACTGTTACACGATTTGGACAATTTGCTGTTACACCCGGTGAATATATATATATATATATATATATATATATATATATATATATATATATATATATATATATATATGTGTGTGTGTGTGTGTGTGCGTGTATATATATATATATATATATATATGTGTGTGTGTGTGTGTGTATTGATTACTAGTTGCAGCAAATGTGAGTCACTTTATATGCACAGTGTTTTTCCCTAAATCTCATTTATATCCAAAATTATAATTATCAATAGAATACCTTAGGGTGAATAAACTTTTTTCCTAGATGGTCGGGAAGGGGTCTTTATATTAGTAAGATTGACAATATTTTAACCCCCAAAAACAATAGACAAAAATATTTGTAGTAAAAAAAATCAGGTGAATCACTTTTATTGAACAGCACTATATATATATATATATATATATATATGCCGGGTGTAACAGTATAAATTTGAGTTTACATCCTTGTTATTTTAAACTCGGTATGTAATGACAACCGGCCTGAAATCGAGAAGTCTTTATGAAAAATTTTGGGAAGTCATCCGGGCCGAGAACTTCTCAGCAACTCCTCGTGTGAAAT